ATATTCTCTTAACAAACCACTGAGGCCGTCACAGAACAGCTGTATTTGTACTGAGATTAAAATACACATTGCTGGACTCTATTTAGTCATTAGGTCAACATTCGATTATTCAGCAATCATCAGGCAACTTCTGAAGGCAATTGTATGCACTCAGAGAAAAAGATGCTGAATACTTTTGCACACCACACTTTTCAGTTTTTATCTGTAAAAAAAATTAAAATCATGTATAATTTTCTTTCTCCACAATTGTATGCCACTTTGTGTTGGTCTTTCACATAAAATTCCAATAAAATATTTTTACGTTTGTGGTCGTAACGTGACAAAATGTGGAAAAGTTCAAGGGGTATGAATACTTTTGCAAGCCACTGTATCTCCTTTAATATAATATAATAATATTATTGTATTTTTATATACATTTTAATAATTGTCTTGTTTATGGTTTATATAGTATATATAGTTAGAGGATAATAATCTGTTCAAAATATCAACATTTATCTCAGGTGTGTGAAAAAAGACAAATTCAAGTTTAAAAATACTATGGTTACAATTAAGTTATTTCCAAGTTACTTTGACAACAATACTGTTTTAAGTGTGGCGCTTTGGCCCAGAGGCAATGTCTCTGTCATTGGTGTTGAACCCTAGGGTTCACCTCCTGGGCAAGTTTGAATCCCGGTTAGGGCGGTTGGAACCTTCCAGTGGACTCACCACCCGCAGGAAGGTTTAGGGGGGTTGGTACGGTACAATGTGATTTGGGTGGTGACTGCTGACCCGGTAACGGATAAGCGGATGAAAATGGATGAATGAATGGATGGATGGATGGACTGTTTTAAGTTTCATTCTTGCACCAGAAGGACATCTTGCCAGATGTCAAGGCAGTTGTGTTGAGACACAATCGACAGCAGCCTGTTTCCTTCATTAAATGTAGATATGTCAGCGACTGACAATGAGGTCAGTGAGTTAGAACATGTTAATGTTTTTTAATTTCAGCACAACAAATGTAAGTAAAAATGTTCTTAGACCGATGTTCAAATTTTAAAAATGTGTCTGGTTTTCAAAACTAAAATAGCCTATATTAAAACTAGAGCTGACAGAATCCATGCATTAATCGTGCTAATTTGTGAAGATTATTCTGATAATTTGTTGGTCATGGCTGTGACTAATCATGATTAATCAATTAACAGCCCTCGTTAATGCATGAGGCATCTTTACCAGCGTTGACAAGTTTTTTATCATCTGAACTTTATCAAATAGCAAGCTGCATTACTTTTACAAAAAAAAACTAAAATTACAGATAATATTCGATATTAAAGCACCTGTTTACACATACAGTGGAACCCCTAGATATGAGCTTCCCGAAATATAGGTGTAGGTACAACCACAGTCCCGTTGAGGACTCCCATAATTCCACTGCTTTTTTCTTAACTGAGTAAAACCGGTAATTAAGTGACGTTACGACTGCGGCCAAAGCAGCTAATGGAAGTTTAGAAGCGACAAGATTCCTTCCAACACTAATTGTGAACCGGCACATCGACAATCAGAGACTTTTCCTCCCGAAGCGGACTTTTGGACCAAAAGGACCCTCTGCACACAGTGAAACCTGACTGACGTCTCCAACTCTGGCGAGGACCCAAGAAGTGCGGACTTTCCACTACCTTTAAATACGAACAGACGTTCACTAAACTAAGGCTGGCATTTGGGCACGTTAGTTTTATTTTAGTATTGTTAAGGATATTTAAACTTAAGGATAGTTTAATGGTGCACATTGAGAACACTGAGTGTCATTGAATCGTGTTAGTTCTAATAACCTTTGCTTCTTCTGTAGATAGGCTACTGCATGCGCTATCTCCTCTCTTCTAACCTCCTTACATAGTGTCATACTCTCGTATGCCGTCAGTATTTCAGTGTTAACTTGTAACGTTATAAGTACTGGGATCAGGAAAACTCCGACAAAGTCCTTTGTCTTGAGTAGATCACGCGGTACGCCTCCCTTCCCCCATATACTTTGATAACATCACAAGCACTATTTTATTGTACCTGAGCGCAACGTAGTGTGCGTACACAACCCCTTTCACACCTCCATGAGCGCATACATGCCTCACGTGTTTCCTATTGCCGTCCTTTCTACCTCGCAGTTCTTCTTCCACTGTGCAGTCGTGTACATGAACACGCCTCAAGGGCTCAGTCGCTAGCTTGGTAGCTAAGAGGCAACATCTCTCTCTTTCTCTCTCTTATACAACCACTCGTGTACACACTCACACAAACACACACACACACTGTTGTGCCTTGTTTAGTTTATGTATCAACTACTATCATTAACGTGATAGGGTTGTGTTTGATTATTTTTATAAACTGTTTGTCTGTGTTGTTACTTTATGCATTGAAGCCACCCAATTTTCCAAGAACTCCAAAAACCTTAAGATATCCTAATTGTTTGTGAATGCTATTGATTGTAGTATATTTGTAATACATTATACTATAATATTAGCATAACATAACAATTAAAGATAATTTTTAATGAGACTGATTTGTGTCATTGATCTGAAAAACTTTTAGTGTTTAATAAAATAAAAATAAATATATATACTGTATATATATATATATATATCATCCTTCTTCTACACTGTCCTCGACACTCGCTCACTGTCGTGCTGTTTCGCTCACTGTCCCTCATTTGGTCATTTTTACCCACTGCCTGTCAATCTCTCGTTCCAACCTTCCATCACTCGTGAACAAGACCCCAAGATACTTAAACTCCTCCACCTGAGGCAGGATCTCCTCCCCAACCTGGAGGGTGCAAACCACCTTTTTCTGGTCGAGAACCATGGCCTCGGTGCTGATTCTCATCTCAGCAGCTTCACACTCGGCTGCGAACCACCCCAGTGCATGCTGCAGGTCCTGGCTCGAAGAAGCCAATAAGACAACATCATCTGCAAAAAGCAGAGATGAAATCCGTTGGCTCCCACCCGACACCTGGCTGCGCCTAGAAAATCTGTCCATAAAGACTGTCCGTAGGACTCCTTCTTCAGCTTGGCGGCATCCCTTACCTCTGGTGTCCACCACCGGGTTCGGAGACCTTACGGCTGCAGCTACAGACAGCCGCGTCAACAACGGAAGTGGAGAACATAGTCCACTCAGACTCAATGTCTCCAGCCTCCCTCGAGACCTGGTCAAAGCTCTCCCGATGGTGGGAGTTGAAGGCCATCCTTACCGGGGATTCCGCCAGACGTTCCCAACAGACCCTTACAATGCGCTTGGGTCTGCCAGGTCTGTCCAGCTTCACCCCCTGTAAGTGGAGCCAACTCACCACCAGGTGGTGATCAGTTGACAGCTCAGCCCCTCTCTTCACCCTAGTGTTCAATACATATGGCCGGATGTCAGATGACACAACTACAAAGTCGATCATTGATCTCTGGCCTAGGGTGTCCTGGTGCCAAGTGCACTGATGGACACCCTTATGCTTGAACGTGGTGTTTGTTATGGACAAACCGTGACCATGACAGGATTTTATGTATATTTAGGTACTATGTTTTTAAATTTCATTTTATCAGTTTGATTTGTTGTTGTAAACTTCTACTATTTGCCCTATTTTTCACCCTCACTGCCTTTGATATAGAGAGTTTTAACGTATTTAAACCTATCATACTTCCTATTATACTTTCCTTTATGGCGTTGTTACTGATTATTTTTTAAATTTAAATATTATAATTTAATTATTTAAATATTGATTGATATATTATTGTTTTTTAAAAGGACTTTAGGGATAATTCTGGAACATTTGTACCTGCGCCAGCTATTTTAATATTGTATTTGCTAGGTTCTAAACTGATCATTTTGTACTAGTATTTGTATCCAGGACCTGGCACCTGCACATACCGCTAGAAGCACCAAAACCTGGTTTGATGCCCATGCCATCACAGAGCTTGACTGGCCAGCCAATTAGCCGGACCAAAACCCCATTGATAATCTATGGGGTATTATCAAGAGGAAAATGAGGGGCACCACACCCAAAAACAAAGAAGGGAAATCTGGGCTTTCATAACTCCCAGGCAATGCCACAGGCTGATTGCATCAATTCCACAGCCCATCGAGGCAGCGATTATGGCAAAGGGATTCTGTTGGAAGAATTTAATTTATTATCATTGCTTCATGCTGTACTGTCGTCTCATATTATAATCTAGTGTACTCAAGACTGATGGAGAAATTACCAGACACAGCCACATCCCCATTCACACCCGCCTTCTTACTCCATACCCATTCATATACTCACACACGATCACATGATATGTAATCTGATACTTTTATAAACTCAATAAAAATGCAGAGGAAGGGTGTGGCTACTCGGAGTTGATGAGGAAACTGCACTCTCCCCTTGCAAGTAAAAAATCAAGACGTCTTTTGTGTTGTTACTTTGTCGTCATATATGTTAGAATAAACCTGACAGATTCCCAACCAAGTACTGAAGATTGACATATCGTTTTGAAAATACCATATTTTGAATGATCTGATATGATCCTAATTTCTTTTTTTTCTGCAAAAACTGAGAAGTAAATTGTGATTTCTCCACAGTATTCTAATTTTTTGAATTCCTGTTTTCGTGGGTTTCATGAGCTGGAAGCCCAAATTATGTAAAAATAAACAACTAAATACTTGAAATTGTTTAAACTGTGGGCCCTGAATCTATTATCTATGAAAGTTAAATTTTTTGAATGGAATTATGGAAATAAATAAACATTTTTTTTCTCTGCATATAACCCATCCCCAGGGACCAGTAAGTGCTTTCAGAGGTGCCTGGGGAGGAAGGCATTTTGGTGCTTGTTAAACAGGCAAGAGTCGACCAGCCAGAAAACACATCAAACTGCTGTTATTTTTCTTTCTGTTTCAGTAACATACAGATGTTTTTCTCATATACAGAAATATTGATTTTGAATATTGAAAATGTCAAGGTAAATGCTGTCCAGTTATGACCTACGGTAAATGTGTTAAGAATTACCTTCCCCTTAATCAGAAAGCCTAGACCTACCTTCAGAATGCCTTCTTTGGACTCCTCAACATTATTGTCCACTCCTCCAGTGTGGTTAATCATTCGCCACATCTGGGCGTACATCGGGTCTCTCTCAAAGGGGTTCAGAGCCTTGGCACGGACTTGATTATAAACCGCAGAGTCGTACACTGTACCATAAGGCAACTCTGTCTGTCGGGACAAGTCCTGTAGAGACCTGAAGGGAGACAGGTGTCAAGAATGAGTCATCAGACCAGTGTTCCATTTTTTAATCAAAATTTTTTTACTTTGGTGACATTCATGTTGCTTCTCAAGGTTAAACTAACTAACTAAGTTATTCAGAAACAATGACTGCTTTCTGAAATTGAATGGAATAGACCATTCTGTCATAGCGAAACACAGATGTACGAGACAAGCCATACAGTCCAAGTCCAGTAAAGTCCAGGAAGTAAAATTTAATCCATAGAGGTCAAATAATTTAGTTTCCAAGTTTGTTGAAAATGGAAGAAGCTATTTTTTATTTTATATTGTCAGTGGCTATTTTTCAGTCTCAACTTTTGTTTCAGGGCTTTCTCAACAGTGTGGTTGTCATTTGGTGAATTGTGTTGCTATACAGAGTATAACAGAGAATAAATAACCAAATTTCCAGGAGTGTCAAATGAGAGGCTGTCAGCAGGTGAAATGCCAAAATGATGCACGGTTGAATTACATATCTCATCACATTTTTTCCTATTTTATGTTAAACGTGAAATTGCATAGTTAGTTCTATAAGCCATATGTTCAAAAAAGTCCAAAACGTGACACAGAAGAAACTATTTTGCTTTTGTTATGTTAAGAGTACTCTATGTTTTCTGGATGAAATGGGGTATTCATTATATAAGAAAATACAGTATACAGTATTTTCAATCATTATATAGCATAGTAATATAGTACAGATATTTTTGATTCCCAAAAAACAAAACAATTACTCATGGTAAAATATTAAATCCAATCATGACATGAATCATTTTATTTGGTGTTAAAATAAAAATCCTGTTTTGTATCCACTGTGATATTTGACTCTAAGATCACACAGAGCAAAAGGTGTGACAATAATTAGCGTCTGGACACAACAAGCGACACGCATGTTCTTTTGTAATCCAATTTGCTGTTGTATCTGTTTGTGTCCTGACTCGCAAATGACCACCTACCATACTGTATATCTGTATTTTTTTTTATTCATTCTTATGTAAAACACCTTGACTGAAGCTGATAATAGTGAGATATGAGTTTAACTCCCCTTGATGATGGTAACAATAATCACTAAGAAGCTCACGTCGCTCGGATTGGTGTTACCGGGGCCCCACCCTGGAGCCAGGCCCAGGGTTGGGGCTCGCAGGCGAGCACCTGGTGGCCGGATCTCTGCCCATGGGACTCGGCCATGTCCAGCCCGAAAAAGCGACGTGGGCCCACTTTCCAGTAGGCCCACCACTTGCAGGAAGGTCCACAAGAGGACGGTGCCATGCGATTTGGGTGGCGGTCGTGGGCGAGGACCCTGGTGGCCCAATCCTTGGACAACTACTGGCTATGGGGACATGGAATGTCACCTAGCTGGGGGAAAAAGAGCCTGAGCTTGTGTGGGAGGTTGAGCGATACCGACTAGATATAGTCGGGCTCACCTCCACGCACAGCCTGGGCTCTGGGACCCGACTCCTTGAGAGAGGCTGGACTCTCTTCTATTCTGGAGTTGCTCGCGGCGAGAGGTGGCGTGCTGGTGTAGGCTTGTTTATAGCTCCCCAGCTCGCCAGTCGTGTGTTGGAGTTGTCCCCACTGAGCGAGAGGGGGAGCTGTTGACCTCGACTGGGGATGCCGTCAGGAGGAGGAAGGAATACTTCGAGGATCTCCTCAATCTTACTGACACGCCTTCCGTGGGGAAGCTGAGGCTGAGGACTCAGCGGCTGATCCTCCCATCTCCTGCGCTGAGGTCACCAAGGTAGTCAAGAAGCTGCTTGGTGGCAAGGCGCCGTGGGTGGATGAGATCCGCCCTGTGTATCTCAAGTCGCTGGATGTTGTGGGGCTGTCTTGGTTGACAGGTCTCTGCAGCATCGCGTGGCAGAGCTGGGTGGTGGTCCCACTTTTCAAAAAGGGGTGTTCCAACTATCGGAGGCTCACACTACTCAGCCTCCCGGAAAAAGTCTATTCCAGTGTACTGAAGAGAAGAATCCAGCCGATAGCTCAACCTCAACACCCAAGAGGAACAATGCGATTTTCATCCTGGTCATGGAACGCTGGACCAGCTCTATACCCTCCACAGGGTGCTTGAGGGTTCATGGGAGTTTGCCCAACCGGTCCACATGTGTGAAAAGGCTTTCGACCGTGTCCCTCGTGGTATTCTGTGGGGGGTGCCCTGAGAGTATAGGGTCGGGGGCCCTCTTCTAAGGGCTGTCCGGTCCCTGTACGACCGGAGCAGGAGCTTGGTTTGCATTGCCGGCAGTAAGTCGGACCTGTTCCCAGTGCATGTTGGACTATGGCAGGGCTGCCCTTTGTTACTGGTTTTGTTCATTATCTTTATGGACAGAATTGATAGAATCTCTGCTTTTTGCAGATGATGTTTTGTTGGCTTCTTCGAGCCAGGACCTGCAGCATGCACTGGGGCGGTTCGCAGCTGAGTGTGAAGCTGCTGGGATGAGAATCAGCATCGAGGCGACTACATCGCTCGGCTGGCCTGGGAGCGCCTTGAGGTCCCCCAGAAGAGCTGGAGGAAGTGTCTGGGGAGAGGGAAGTCTGGGTGTCCCTGCTCAGACTGTTGCCCCCGCAACCCGGCCCAGGATAAGTGGACGATGATGGATGGATGGAGTTTAACAGCTGAATTGATATAGTCTGCTCAGTTCAACCATATCATAAAATATCATTCTGACTGTTTTATAAGACAAGCCAGCCACTAGGGTAAATCCAGCCACTAGGGTAAAGCCAGCCACTAGGGTACACGAAGCCGTGTTTTATAGTGCCGGTCCCAAGCCCGGATAAATGGTGAGGGTTGCGTCAGGAAGGGCATCCGGCGTAAAACGTTTAGCTAAATCAAAT